GTTAGTTGGTGGGGTGCAATCAAGAGCTGTCTCGTTTTCATTTTGGAACGTTGCGTTGTTGCCCGTTCTTTTCACTCGCACGACGTTTACTTTGGTGTAGCTCTGTCCTCCGCTTTTAACTCACAAATAATCTCACTTTATCGATCACCTGGCTTCCTATATGCTAATGGCCATTGGCCATCCTCATCATCAAAAATATTTCATATTCGACCACGAGATTTTCAGTTTCGATGATGATGATGATGATGATAATACAACTACACAGATCAGAGCACAAAACTGATATGGGGGGAGTTTTCCGTCCCATAATCATACAACTCGTATCATATGGGAATTTGGCCCCAAAAAATATACTCCTCCGGTCCTAATTATAAGACCCAATTGACTTATTTGAGGAGATTAAGGAAGTAAGTTAAGTTGGTTATTTATAATAAATAAGTGTTGTTATTCCTAAAATATCTTTGCTAATTAAGTATATTGGCTAAAACTATCATTATTAGAAGGATTATCTTGGAAAAAATGCATAAATATAAGAGAGAAAAGATTGGGTCTTATAATTAGGACCAAATAAAAAGTCAAATTGGGTCTTATAATAAGGACCGGAAGAGTATATAATAGGGGAATTTTTTAATGAGATTTTTTCCAACAGGAAAGAGGTTCGATGTAGGTGTTAATTATTGACAACTATATTTTACATTTATTTTCCAACATACTACCTTTAGACTTAATATAAAAATTAGATAACTAATTATTTTTTAAATATTAATGAAATTAGTTTAATTAATTAATTTGTAATAAATATATCTTTGTTTTTCTCAACTATTCTCTTTATATCATATGCATTAAAATTATCTATTGTTTGGGAGCCGTTTCAATATGTGTAATTAATGAGAATATTTTGAATAAAAATTAGGCTAAAGTATATATTTGATCATTTAACTTTATTTAAGGTTTCAATTTGATCCATTAACTTTAAAAAGCATACATTTGGTCTTTTAATCTTAAAATTATTAAGCTTCAATGATTTTTTTTGAAAACATAATTAATGTTTTGAAAATTAAACTTAATATGTTAGCATTTAAAACTATTTTATCAATATTTGAGATTTTAACTTCATCATTTTTTTTAAATTAGAGTTAAATGACTAAAAATATACTTTTTAAAGTTAAAAGATCAAATTGAAATCTTATACAATGTTAAAGAATTAAATATATAGTTTTAGCCTAAAAATCTGAGAAATAAAATGAATTTAGATATTATATTTAGAATTAAAATAAAATATTGATCTGATTTTTATATTCAGTACAAGAGACGGTATATGCCTTTCCGTAATTAATTTAAGCCATATCATAGTTGTACAAAATGACTAGTGGTCTGTCATATGTGCTAATTAAATATTGCAATGAATTGCTATGGAACAGGACTATAAAGTTTAGTGTGGAGTAAAATGGAAGATTGAATGAAGAGATGCGGGCCACGTGGCATGCTTAGAAATGGAAGCTGGAAGACCTCGAGTTACACGTAGATTTCTCTGCGAGGAAGACACGTGAGCGGAACGCGGAGCCATGAATTTCATATATGATGGACTCACACTCACACATAACGGAAGCAAAAATTAAATAAACAATTAAAAAAGGGAAAAGGTACACCCGTAGGGGTTGGTTTGATCTTGCCTTCGGACGAGCCAGCGTGAGATCTAAACTCCCAAGTCCCAACCATAAACTACTATATTGTTGCCGGTAATATACGTATGTATGTATATATAAATATTTTGATGCTCATCATAATAATAAATATCATGCCGCTCATTGTTATAATAAAATTTATACCATTTAAATACAGTTTTAATATTCTAGATTTAAAATTTTTTACTAATGATTTTTAAATAGACAAATTATTTTTTTGAAAAACTTATCATTAGAAAATTATATTTATTTTGGAATGTGCCTATTAAATGAAAACATTTTTAAAAAATTAAAAATTTAAATCTTAGCTGTTCATATTAAATTTGAACAGTTAAGATTTGATGAGTATCATAATATTTTTTATTGTGATGAGCATCGAAACTAATTCTTATATTCTTCACCCACATGTGCACATGATTTAAATGGATGATGATAAAAAGGAAATACGTATAATTCAGAGGTTTATACTTTTATTGTTTCGATATTACATGGCAGATTTTTAACAAATAGTATTCGGCCCTTGACAGAGATACTAAAAAAAAGTATACTTTAAAAAAAAAAAAAAAGTACTCTCATGAACCCCTGGGTTAAAATATGTTGTGCTCCTGGTCAAGGAAAAGGGAAAAAAAAAAAACATATGTGTGCTAAAATAAAGTACTAGTGGGTGTGGGTCATCATCATCTTTGGATGCTCGGATCTTAACAAATACAGATGAGGTTTTAGGACAGGAGATCCGATAAAGACAGGATATATACATCCACACACAATATATCCGTGGGTGAGAGAGAGAGCGAGATCATGACGATACGAATGGGAAAGCGATACAATGAGATGGCGATGATGGGTAGACGATGTAACAGACTGCACAATAGATAATAACAAATCACCCCTTGTTCACGGGTTTAAGCCAGATAAAAAGAATACCCGGGACAATTTCGTCATACTCGCTTCCTACTCTTCCCACCAAATGCCACAAGCTCATTCTTTGATGTGTGTGTATCCTGTAGTATCGTTATACATGAGAAAACATACTACTATCTTCTGTCTTTAATATAAGATTTTATTTGATTTTTATTTTGGTTCTAAATAAAAGATTCTAATCCACTTTGTCTTTAATATTTATATTTTTTTCAAGATAGTCCTTCTAATAATAATAATACTAACCAACACACTTGATTAGTAAGGATATTTTAGGAAAAACAACACTTATTTCTTACAAATAACTAATTTAACTTATTTTTTTAATCCCCTCAAATTAGTCAACTAGCTTTTATAATTAGGACTGAAGGTAGTACCCAGATAGATTCATATATATATATATATAAGCCAATGTATCAATGATCAAATCGTCAATTTGTTTGTTTCATTTTGCTTCTATATATTCCTTTTTAAAGCGGGGGAAGAATGAAACGCAGAGTGCCATTAATTGGATGCTTTGAGATGAGAGTTTTTCCCCTCTCTCTCTCTCTTTTTTTTTTGGTTTTTGTTTTTGGGGCGGTGTGTTGAAATGAGAACATGAAGGAGAATATTTTGGAAGCGGAAAAGCCAAATACTGCGATCTTTTGACTGTAAATTTAAAAAACACACATTTGATTGACACGTCACTGTTGCAGGCTTTCGGTTCCGGAGCTCTTATCCTTTGGCTCTTAAAATTGCCGTCTCACCAAGGAATGCCAAATTCCCTCTTTTACCCTTCCATTCTTCTGGTCAAAAAAAAAAAAAAAAACCCTTCCATTCTCCCACGCCACTGCTCATTCTTTTTCATTTTTACCCAGTGCACTGCTAATTAACTCCCCGAACGCTAATTAAAAAAGCCATGTTTTAATTATTATGATGAATTGTTCTTCTTTTCTCTTGTCGTTGGAGGTAATCATTATTGCCGGAAAATCTTTTCACACATATACTCATGTCAATTAATTTATTCTGGTTCTTTAATAAATAAATTGTTGTATTGCATTTTAATGGCCGATTTACTGAATGGGTAGCTGGCCCAAAAATATACTAGGTGCATATTAGTAATTGGGTCGCAGTACTATTTTATGAGCCTATAGTCCAATAACGTAAACTATGCGTCCACGACACACACAGAACAAAACATTTAGCCAATATTCTTACCCCCCCCCCCCCCAAAAAAAAAAAAAAACATATAGCTGATATCTCTCTCACGGGTTCCGCTTCCAGCCCAACTTCCTCCTCGTATCCAGCGCACATATTCTGTGAGAATTAACTTGGACTAAATTCCGTACGTTAAAAAATTATTAAAAATTAAAAACAATAATCATAAAAGTATCTTGTTAACGGCGGTATAATTAAGGAAAATTGACTAAGGTCAGCAAGGTGGCTTAATTTGCGGAGGATTTGAGCTTGAGGAACATCGAAGACATGACCAGGCCATATAAGTGGGCTCTACGTAAAAAATTAGCCCACTAAGCTACATGTCGCTGAGAGAAGAAACACTAGTGCGAATGAGATATTGCATATACAGCTGCTCATGTGGTCTGATGGATGATCGAAGCGTATTATATATCAGTGATGAACTTAAACACAAGATCTTCCATGGAGAAATGAGATAGAGTTGATGGATCAGTACTGTGGAAGGGGTGATAAGGCTTGCGAGTGGAGATTGGATGGATATACAATGGGATTTCAGAAGAACATTATTGGTATCGTCTGTGATCTGTATTTATCAGAGGCTCAAGTTATTGCCATTGATCAAAGCTTATCATTAGATATTTATTTAGTGTGCAGATGACTCCACGTCTTATTCATCTATGTTTTGGGAAGAATTCATCACGATTCTCGCCTATTTTTTACACAAGAATTTCAGTGTATTTGTGCGTCACAAAAGCACGTTTCATTATGGACTTGCCAAGTCTTAAAAAGTTTGGTATTCTGTATATTACCCACACATATTCTGGTACACAAATAACAATTTGAAAGTATTTGCTTTTATGCTTTTTATAATATAGACATGCATAAAAAAATTCCCTAAAAGTATAGCTTCATATTATTTTAACGAATCCTAAAGATGATAATTAAATAAGGACAGGGATGAGCAAATGGATTGATATGTTATTTATAAACATCCATTGCATACATAGAATACCACCATTGGCCACATTTTTGTTCTTTGTTACATCCATCGTGAGAACCTAACCCTGGATGTATTCCCACAGGTTTTATTATTAATACCAGCACATAACATGCACCAAGCTGGCAAATTAAAGTTAACTGCACAGCAATTACTTAATACATTAGACGTGGGGCACCTATGGGAAATGTTGCTTAATTAATTATTCTTCATCTGCACCCCAATCAAGGGGGCGAGTCCGATGACGGCGAAGGAATAGGATTCACAAAATCATGGTAGAGAATGGAGAAACCCGCAACTTCTTTCTTCTTGAAGAGGTTGTAACCAAACAAGAAGAAGACAATGGGCGAGAGATTAGTCCAATCCTCGTTCTCGGCACTGTACCCGGCGAGAAGCTTCCTCTGGGGATAAACCTTGGAAACAGCACTGAACCGTTCCTCCAAGAGGACAAGACTGTCCACAGAAGTTATCTCATTCTGAAACTGATAATCCACCAAATCTATATAGTTGCAGAACCTTCGATTCAGCAAGGAGTAATAGTCTTCGCTAAGACTGGCCGACGGCGAAATGGAAGCGGCGGTTATGACTTTCGCGGCCTTGAGGTTCTTGATAAGCTGGCCCATGCACTGAGCGAATCCGTTTGGTTCGACGGAGTCATCGATGTGTTCATAGAAGACGTCGAGTCCAAATTCGATTTGGTGTAGGGTTAGGGCGTAGAGTTCGTCTCGGATGATGCTTGTGAGCGAGTTAGTGGCGTTGGAGATCCATGACTGGGTGTCGAGAGGGCGGAGGCGGAAGTTAACGTCGCGATCGCCAATGGAGATGAAGACTTTGAGCTTAACGTTGACGGGAAGGCGTTCTCTGAACTGAAGGATGGAAGAAGGAGTGACTTTGGTTTTGTCCCAGAAGATATTGAAAATTCCATTGGTTGGAGAATTGAGCTCGTCGTAGTCTCTGGCGAATATCAGAGCGATCTGGTACTCGCTCGCCAGGTTGCTGTCCACGAACACCTTTAGAAATGAGTCGTCGTACGTGTATTGCCGAAATATCTGCGGCATTATTTAATCTCCCCAAGATATTCACGCAATGATTAAGCAGGTTTTGTTTTCTCACCGTCAGTTCGCCAAGCCGTCATGCTTTTATATGCTTCAGCTGGTTCAACCGCAACCTCACTTCTTAATACTCCTTCATTTATTATTAAATCAGATCTCCCTTTTTTTTTTTGAATATGAACTGAAATAACATTACTATAAACAGGTGTTACACTTCAAAGCGAGCCAAGACAGTGCCCATCTAGTAACCTTACTAGATATAATTTTAGATTTTTTTCCCGATCATAAATATATAACCAATTAACCATAAATAAATATCAGTATATAGATAATTTGTAGATGTGGTAACTGTCAATCAAAGTGGAACTTGCGCTAGCAGCAACATCAGAGTTACTCCTTTACCAACCTTCTAGACTCTGGAGGAGCGGGTAGGTGAAATGGGTCTATCTTTGGATTGAAGCGGTTAAAACTTAAAGTGCGTCATTTTTCTTATCGCCGAAAGAGCAAAGCATATCATTTTCCCTTCCTTTCTTTTACCAAATATTTTTCCTCCTTCGAAATATTAATTTTCTTACAGTTTCTGACTTTTTTGGGACCAAATATCATCCCTTCTTTTCTGGGGAAAAAAATAACATGGGCCATATTTTCTTATATCAGTCATTATACTCGAATCCACAAGTCCAAAATGCTTGGGGAATAGTAGCCCATATCCTCATTATGTCCAGACTCCGGAGAACTTTTTTTGGGCTTCAGAGGCTAGTGATTGAGCAGTTTAATACTGGCCCGACTAAATTAAAAGCCTCAATTTTAAAACATGGAATATTATCATGAACAATATATCGATATATTTTATATGGTAAGTCAAGCTGATGACTCATTTCAGATAAGAGACATAGCGCAACTAGTTTGTGGAGCTCCATGAACAAGGGAAACATATATAGTTGGTGAACTGAAGGCGTAGAGTATACTCATAGTAGTAACTTGGAACTCCATTATGCGTACAAGTTTGAATAAACCTGACCCCATTCCTCATAACTTGGCTGCGCCATCGATATATTCAGGTGGATGAACTCTTATAGAACACCCAAGCGTTCTCACACATATGGCAGGCAGTAATGGGTTCATTGCTAGTGTACGAGTTGTCGCGGACAAGTATGGTTCCCTCAATTATTTGGTATGAACCCCATTGAGACAACATCATGCCTTCGGTTGATCATGAGCGGATCGATTAATTGGACGGAAATGAAACAAGAATTAAAACCTAAATAAATGACTAATGTTAATGATGATTTCTAAATAACTTTAAGTTGTTTCATCCTCAATATCCAATTGTGAAGTTTTATTTTGTAGTATAGATTCTTCAATTACACTATAGCGTCTTCTAAGCCACAACAAAGCTTTCCAATCATACCAATACGTCTCTACCGCCCATAGTGACTAGAATCAGAGAACAACCTACCGAAAATATTACATCCAACTATGATGCTCATTCTGCTTCATATCATGAAACTTAACTTTGACTTCCTCTGCCTCCTAATAATTATACCACAATATTTCTCCCCATGTGAAATTTCATTCCATGAATACATCCGCGCGAAGGAATCTTGCTTCTTCTCGGACAACCACATAAAAGAAAAACTGCGTATATTCTAGTCGCCATGACTGATGAAACAAGAGAAAATGATTATATAACTAACTTAAGAGGTAAAGAAGATGATGAACAAATTAAGAACCTGATGAAACTTTGTTTGTTGATGAAAATTAGCATTGATCAATGATTAGGCGAACGGCATTTTTCGAAACAAATTAAAAAAACAAAGCCAGCATTGATTGCTGTGACAGCGCCAATAAGCATGCATTTATATGCAGCGAACCGTTACTGCAAACTAGCGTGGTTACATGTCAGCCAATGCCCTTTTTGACTCAACATTCCACAACGCTGTCTCGTATCATAGCTAAATTGAACCCTAACTGTCTCTCATATGTAGAAGAAGTAAGACTAATGAGTTGATCTGTGTGGTCGCATATCATCTTCAATCCCATCGCTCATAGTTTCAATTATTCCCTGTTCATTATGATTTGAGAAAGTGCAGCTCCAATTTTCCTTTCTCTGCACAGATGAATGTATGCACTTAGGAAAAGGACCCATTAATGCCTCTTGTTTGTGCACTGCTCACATATCTTTGCGCAACATGATTAGTCTTCAACTTTCCACCAAATCGTGGAGTTTGAGGGCACCCCATTTCGATCCTTTTCAATCATATTTGTATTGTTGAATGCTCAGGTTTTCCTTTGAAATCATATTGTTATTTCAAAATATTTTTCAAATGATGAAACCACCCTTTTATATTTTTTGCATCAATACAGTACGTCTAAAAGTTTTACGTTAATCTTCCTTATTTCTTTCTGTTTTTTATTTTTTTAAGCATGAACCTCAAACTAATGAAAAAAATGATAAATCTCAGTACTCACTTGAATATTTTCAACCAAAGCTGCAGACTATTGATGCGGCAAACGTTAATTAAAGAGAGTGCATTTTGACGGGACGTATGAGTAGTGATATTTCGAAAGGTGGGCAAACATTAAATCAATGCGAGGCACTATTCATTGCTTGACAAATCATGCACTGACAAGCCGTATGAAGACTAATATAATTGAGAGGAAAGTTTATGCTGCAAAGATAATATAACCTCCTGGTCAAATTGCCAATATATGACAGGTGAGAAAGAGAGAGAGCTACAATAATTGAGAGGAAAATTTATGCTGCGAAGATAATATAAACTCCTGTTCCAATTGCCAATATATGACAGGTGAGAAGGAGAGATAGCTGCAGAATGACATTTTTATTCCAAAACCACTTCACTTTAATAATTAATGTCTTATGACCCATCACTTTCTGAGATTCCTGCTCTTTACTTCTTCCTCACAATCATGTTATTAGCTGCTGGAAAAGACATTGAAGTAAACTGCTTTATTAGTGACAAGTAGCTATCTATATTTACATGATGAAGCGTCTGAGAGGAAGTACGCAAATGAAGAGCCTATCAGTTTCACAAAACGTGCATTCTCATCAGAAGAATTATGTGAGATGTATCATTTCATGCGCCTCTCTTTATGGTCATGTGCGTCTAATCCATTCTACGTACGTACTATTACTTTTTGTCATCACATAGTCCAAGTGTTCATGTGACAATTATAAGCATTACAACACATTATTTACTGAACCATCTACATTACTCCAAGATTGAATACGTGATATACGATGATGAGGAGTGAGAGTGCATAAGCTATACAAAACACTCTCAAGGTTGAAGCACCTTTATCTCATACTCTCGCGTTCCGATCAGTTGGTTCTTCTGAGCCTCATTTTTCTTTGCGGTTCGGAATGAAGTTAAGTCAGAAAGATGTGGAAACAAGACAGCCTTGTGAGTTTCAGCACTTGGAAAGCAATAAAGCTGAAATATAAGTACTACTCTGTGTGTGGGGTGGTCATTGAGGAGCATGATGAGACTGAAAATACAGCAACAGAAGAGACAAGGGTCAAAGAAGGAGTGATGGAAGTGGAGAAACTGTTATAAGAAATGTTGGCTCATATTCAAGTCTCCCGTTGTCTTGTGCTTATCAGCAAAGTCTTCGACTTTCCATGTAAGCAAAAGCCCCACGATATATCTGCTATTGTCCTGAGTTCCCCGGGTGAGGAGAACTATATATCCCATTATTGCGCCTTGCTAGGGTTTTAGGCTCTAATCATTTATGCCACATACACCACAATAACTTCAGCTTCAGTTGCCTCTTTTTTCTTCATTACGTTCCCACCAATTATATCAATGTCACCTAATATTAATTAATAAAAAATACTAGTTCATGAATTGATTTTTCTACTATGCTTTTGTAATTTACTCGTGATAACAAGGCCATTTTTTGAAATTTGCTTGGCTACTTTGTTCTTGGAAAACAGTGGCGATTGAAATTTTTGTGTGGACGCAGAAAATAAATTATTCTGGCATTATTAGCCAGGTTATTAATTATACTACTCATCTGTTACTTTCCCATAGAAATCAGCAGAAAATAAAGCATATTATCAAAGGATCTCTTTCTCCGGGAGTAATGATTGGAGTTGCTCAGTTAAAAAAAATTATATAGTGTAGTATATAAATAAAGCATATTATTAAAGGATCACTTTCTTCAGGAGTAATGATTGGAGTTGTTCAGTTCAAAAAAAAAAAATTATATACTACAGATATACAACGATAAATAAATTTTTCCCAATTTAAACTGCAAGTATGTCTAATGTCTTTCCTTCAGTTGAGTATTACTAGCTTGAGTTTTAATTATAAGATCTTGTTTATAAATGACAAATGAGATTTTATAATTAGAACGGGAGGTACTATTACTTAAGTAGAGGGAAAATGATAGAAAAAGAGGTTGAAAATTATAAATCACAAATCAGTTGGTATCACAACTGACAAGTTTGAATTTACAAATAACAACAAATTTTGTTGACGTTCCTAATTTCACATTTTCAAAATTCCAACTTTTTTTTTTTTGTCATGTCCCAATAATAGAAAACTAGGGAGCGTTGACGCTTGTCACTTCAGAATCACCGCAAACTTTTCTTACAAGTGCGCATATCACTCTTCTTTTTCCTTTTCTTTACCCGATCGCAAAACCAAGGTTAAAGTGAAGCGTTCAGTGTTCACTACTAGTTTGATGAACAAGAAGCCAAATTAATTATCTTCATCAATTGAAGTTGAGCTAAATTAATGAGTAATTAACTAGGATCCACTCGCTAGTCGCTAGCTAGTTAATTCCTAAACAAATTGTTAAAAATTCGCGTGCGCGTGTGTGTGAGACCCAATGCAAACATGCCCATCCAAGGATCATACAAATGACCAAGACTAAAGCTTATTGTTTCAAAGGAATCTAGTTATTGACCAACTGATGATTCTGCATATTCCACAGAGTTAGTTACTTTTGGGGCTTGTGAACTCAACTGTTGAGAGCAT